CCCTTTGATGATGCCTGAACAGCAATATGTAATGCATACCAGGCAATGAGATCACGGCCCAGGAAGAGGTGTCACCTCTCACATCTCTAGGTTCCAATGGACAATTGTATGTTTAGGTGGCTGGGTGTTCCTTTTTGTGGATTATGTTATTCTAATCTTCATTGGAGAGCTTTCAAACTATTTTTTGAGAGTTTGGAGAGCAAAAAGATACAAGAAAATAAATTCAATGCAGCACAATTTTTAATTTACAGAGCAAAAGGAATAAATGATAACAAAGAATTAAAGAGAAGCAGAAATAAACTAGCTTCAGCAAATGTGCTGCTAAGAAATTATATCAAATTCTTAGGTACTAAAAATATTGAAAGGTAACAATTTCAATGGTTTAAAATATTAAATAATATATAATTGATATATTTAAAGCCATATTATATTTTCCTAAATATTATCAAACTATTTTACTATAGCTACATTGATTCCAAGTTGTATGTAACTGTATTTTAGTTGCATCCATTTATGAGAGACTATGTCTTCAAGTATAACTAATATAGGACAATACTTTGAGAATTATGTAAACATATCTGTAATAATAATGGTAAAAATAAATTATCATTTAAAAACAAAAGTAAAATATTTGATATACACAATCAAAACCCAAAAAAAGCAAATATCCATCGAAGTTCCAACTTTCTGACGATGCCCATGTGCTATGGGACTTAAAATATTAGTTTGGTGGGCAGACTTTCTAGTCCACAGCAAACTGGTAAATTGGACTGCTAATCTCTAATCATCAAATTTCATTTCATTAATGTCTGATAGCAACTCTGGAATTTGTTAGAAAATATTTCTCTTCTCTATGTCATTCACACTTAAAGGTAACAAAATTGATGATAAATTGACTTTTCTTTTTTCTTGTATAATTGTTCCATGCTTCATGAGAAGAATGGTAAGCTCATATTGTCCCATACATTTGGGATGTCTGGGATTTAAGCCCTTCCTCCACTTCAGGGGGAAAAAATATCAGTTTTTAAAAATTGCTAACAATTAGAGCATTGGGTTTAACAACCTATCAAGCTGTACCCGAAAAGAATACAAAGAAAAGAAAATCATTCTGGCAAATAAAGCACAGGTAGAAAGGATCGAGTAGATGTGGTACAGAACTCGAGTGGATTGTGAGTGTAGGGAGAAGGACAGAAATTTAACAGATCCTCAAACACAGGACCTCATTTTGGAGAATTTGCCGAAATGGAAGATGTCCTTTGCGTAAGACAGGATGAGTGGATCTAGTCACGGTGAAGCAGGATAATTTTCCCTGACCCTTTCTTGGGACTCGCGACAGGATTGCCTCGTTTACTCAGCCTGCCACTCTCAACTTCTTGCAGGAGGGAGCTCGTGAGCAAACAAGGCAGGAACTGGAATACGCAAGCACTGAAACCAGCCGGCTGCCTGGGCGCCAGCAGGAGTGAACTCCACTCCCTCAGACCTGCTGTATTTCACCCCTCACAGGAGGGAGCACACAGATGAATGAGTGCAGGAACTCGGGTGAGCACTTTTGGGCCAGCAGCTGCAAACTCTGGCAGTTGGGTGCGGGGAGCTGCCTGTGACTCCCAGTGACCCTGTCACATACTCTTTTAGCCTTTCCGTCTGCCTACAGCTTAAGTCAGGCTGGAGTGCAGTGGCGCGATCTCGGCTCACTGCAACCTCTGCATCCCGGGTTCAAGCGAATTTCTTGCCCCAGCTCCTGAGTAGCTGGGACTACAGGTGCTGCCACCACAGCCAGCTAATTTTTGTATTTTTAGTAGAGACGGTGTTACACCATGTTGCCAGGATGGTCTCGATCTTGATCTCTTGACCTGACCGCCCTCCTTGGCATCCCAAAGTGCTGGGATTACAGGTGTGAGCCACTGTGCCCAGCCTAGTTGGCCCTTTTGAGTTAATTTCCGATGTTCAGAAAAAATGAAGTTGCAGACATAAATTGAAGGATGGTAAATATAGGGGATTTTACTGCTGGTGAAAGTGGCTCTCTGTGGGAAAGAGAGTTGAAAAGGGGATGGGGTGGAAGAAGAGTAGGTAGTCTTTCCCTGGAGTCCAGCCCTCTCTAACCAGATTCTTCTCTGAAGTTACACTATCAGGCTGTCCCTCTGAAGTCAAGCTGCTTCTCTCCTGACATCCAGCCATAGTCCTCTGACGTTCAGCTGCTGCTTCTCTCTGCCAGTTGAGTGTGGGATCTTTACAGGCACAAGATGGGGTGGGGTGGGAGCATGGGTGATTTAGGAAAAGGCAGCATTTGAGCAGGGAAACAGGGACTAAGTTCTCATTTTGGGCTGTGATCTCAGGCTTCTCAGCTTGAAGGGGGCTTTGCTCCTGTCTGCCTAGAATTTCTCCGCCCCCGTTCCTATCAATGGACGATGCATCGCAAGCAATATTGCTCTGCATTAGAAACACATGGAGTGCTCAGCCCCTCATTACATAGTTATTACTTACCTCACAATCTCAAAGGACTCACACTTAGATCCAAGGCAGTCCTCACAGCCCATTAACATGTGATAGGACTTTACTCATATTTTGCAGTAACTCAAGAAATGTTGGCATGTCAAAATATCACTTGGTGTTTACACACTATCCTGGTTGAATGCCATCCCCAGGGAATTCCCTGAACCAAATTCGTTACCTCTGGAAATCTGGTGATGTGGTTGTGGGAGAACTACACACAGAACAACTTTGACATCCTTGTGTTGTGAAGGGAGAAAGTTACATCACCATGATACAAAAAAGCGCTAGAGGTTTTTTCTTTTGTTTGCGTGTTTTTTTCTAGTTTCTGGCCTGTGATGAACACTACAACAGGAACCTTCGGCGGAGAAACAGAGACCCCTCGCCACTCACTAGCTCTTCACCTTTCTTCCATACTTTGTTCCTGTAAACTGATTTTAGCATTTAGTTTCTCTAACAAAAATGTTGTAGATAGATAAATGGATAAGTAGACAGACAGACAGATGCAAAGAGATAGGCTCATACATATCTCTTTCCTCAGGAAAACAATTAAAATAAGCATGCAGCTTCAGTTGAGCTACAGTGCTGGTACAGTGCTGCTAAACTATTAAATTGAAGACCTGTTTCACATATTTTTAGTATACTACTCTAACAATTTCTCCGGGCATTTTTCTATTCATCCCAAATCAGAATAGTAGATTACTAACAAAGTATTGAATATAGCTCTCACTTTTTCTAGGATTTGGCAAAAATAAAACTAACAACTCAGATGACTTAAAATATTAATTTGCAATCTTAAATTATAAATATGTATTTAATTACCTCATAAAATTTCCTACATTCTCTTCAATTAGCTAAATATATACACTTTATAGTCTCTTATATTCAAAACAAACACAATTCAATTTAAAAATTACTCATCTTTTTAACATAATGTATGACATAACAAATACCTCAAAAATAATCATTTTTTCAAAACATATAAATTCTATTTCTCTGTTTCTATAAGTACAGAAAGTTCAGCCTAATTAATAAAAAAATTATATAATTCTCAGTTATGAGTAAATTATCATCTAATTTTTATTCACTATGAAGGCCAGATGTAGGATTGATAATTAGTCATTAATTAAAATTTATATGTATTTGTAATTAACAAATTCCGAACAAGTAATTTTTAAATCAAACTTTTCTCAATTATAACATGTTTAAGTTATACCAACATTCTATATTCTCTTATTATATGGTAGAGGACAGTTAGGCTAAATTTAATTCCTCATTTGGCTACTGGCTATGTAAACTCTGGTGTTTAATAATATGGAGCCTTAAAGAGAACAAATATATCTATCTATATAAGCAGATATGAAATGATGTAATGATGTACAGGATGCAGTATTAAGTAATGCTGTCAGCAAGTTTATGATAAAATTTATGTGTTATGTACCTGTCTATAATCCTATGTTTTTGTTAAAACAGAAAAAATACATATATCCATATATATGTATATGTATATATATGTACGTATGTATATCTCCATATATATGTGTAAATACATACATATGGATATATGTATATATTATAGATATTATATATAATTGTATATATTATATACATAATATATATGAATATATAATATATATTATAATATATATGAATATATAATATATATTATATTATATATAAATAATAATATATAGATATATAGATAATATAAAGATATATATTTATTTATATATAATATATATTATGTATATATATAATATATTTTATATATATATATCTTACATAGAAAGTCAAAGAGAGAAAAAGATAATTTCAACTTCACAAATAAACTTTTATGGCTTATCGAGGATCTGTTTTAGACCAAAACCTAGTGGGCCTGGGCCCAGGCTCTTCGGTTCAGGTCTCTGTCTTATGTGTTCTTGGATGCTTTGTTAGCTTCCTGTTGTTGTTCTAACAAATTACCACACACTGCCAGGTACAGTGGCTCATACCTGTAATCCCAGCACTTTGGGAGCCCAACGTGGTCACATCACAAGGTCAGGAGTTAGAGACCAGCCTTTCTAAGAGGGTGAAACCTCGTCTATACTAAAAATGCAAAGAAATTAGACAGACGTGGTGGCACATGCCTGTATCTCAGCTACTCAGGAAGCTGAGGCAGGAGAATCTCTTGAACCCAGGAGGCAGAGGTTGCACCACTGCAACTCCAACTCCAGCCTGGGAGACAGAGCGAGACTCCATCTCAAAAAAAAAAAAATATTACTACACATTTATTGACTTAAACCACTTAAAATTTATTATCTCATACTTAACGGCAGTTAAGAGGTTTAAAAACTAAGTGTTGATCGGACTGTTATTTCCACAGCCTCTAAGGGAGAATGTGGTTTTCTATCTTTTCCAGTCTCTAAAGTCTACCCATCTTCCTTGGCTAGTAGCCCTTTCTTAGTGTCACACCAGTCTCTGCCTCTGTCTTCACATCTCCTTCGCTCTCTTTATCTGAGTATCCTTCTTTCTTCTTATAACCATTGTGATTACATTGAGTCCATCCACATAATCAAAGATAATCTCATCTCAAGATTCTTAATTACATCTGCAAGGTTTTTTTGTTTTGTTTTGTTTTGTTTTTGTCATGAAAGATAACATATTCACATATTCTTAAGACTAGGGCATAGATGACTTTGGGGGACCCTTATTATTCCTATTGCAGAAGCCCAGGCTCCAGGCCACTTGGACATCCTCTTCTCAAGCAGGTTCACCAGAGGCAAGTAGTAAGTTAAACTGGCTGAATTCATTAAAAGCCTCAGTTCATATCACAATATCATTCCACTGGTCAAAGGAAGCCATGTGGGTGAAACCAATGGGGTGGGTAAGTGTTCTTAGCCCAGAGTAAGAGTGCATCACATAACACACATATTGCTTTCTAAATATATTTTGCAGCATGTAATACATTATTCTCACTGTATACATATAACAAAATAAACTAGCATCATGCCCTATAACATTTTAATTTTACTGAAGTTTCTGTCTTAACATATTCACTTCCTTACCAGTAATCTTTGTGAGTATACAGAATTACTGTCTTAGTCCACTTGGTGCTACTGTAACAGAATATCTAAGACTGAGTAATTTATAAGAAACAGAAATAAGATTGATTAATTTATAAAGAACAAAAGTTTATTTCTTACAATTCTGGAGGCTGGGAAGTCCAAGAAACAGGGGTCAGCATCTGAAGAGGGCTTTCTTGCTGCATCATCCCATGGTGGGTGGTGGGAGGGCCAGAAAGGAAGAGAGAGAGAAAAAAGATAGAATGGGTGTGTGTAAAGTGGGGGCAAATTTCCCCTTTTATAACAACAAATCCACTCCGAAGATGATAGCATCAATTCATTCACTGATCTTTCATGGCTTAAGTACCTCTCATTAGGGCCCACCTTTCAACATGGTTGCACTGGAGATCAAGTTTCTGGCACATGCTTTTGGGGGAATACATTCAAACCATAGCAATTACCTTCTGTCTTCTCACATTCTTTTTAATGGGGATTTATTCTCGTTTGCAGAGGATAAAAGTAAACAAAAATAAGGAAATAGGTGATTCTGCAAAACATACAATACACTCAAAGCTTCCTCTTCTAGTCTATCCTTTACCAATTTAGTACAAGTTGTAAGCAGACCAGTCTGTTAGAAACTGCCAGGCTCTGTTTCACCTCCTGATTCCATAATGGGCCAAAAGTTGTAGCATCATTAACTTAATACATGAACTTCTAAACAGACATTCCATGTTGCACACTCAAAATTATGCTTATAGAATACTATTTATTATTAGTTAACATTTCACAATATTGTTTTAGTATTTACTGCATCTAGCAACTATCACTCAAAGTGGCATGTTCTACAGATGCTAAAAATAGATTATATTTTAAGATGGAACTTTGTAATTTTATGAAGAGCTAAGCAGTAGTCTCAGATAACTTGAGAAATTAATATTTCATTGATACACTATGGCATTTTCCATTATGAGTTTTTGAATAGCATGATTGAAGATTTTGGAACATTGTAAAGAAGTAGAGCATTATAAACTCATTTTTAGAAAGGTCATCTTATTGTAAGTAACAGCTGTATATTGAAAAATATTTTTATTCAGGTTTATGTTAGAGTATAGATGTTCACAAAGTGATTTTGCTTATGGGATGATATTTTCAGAACTTAACTATAACCAGAATAGTTTCAGCTGTTATGTTACCACCGGGGCCTTTCATGGGAATATCGCTTTTGATTGCATTTTTTAGAATTCATGTCCTAAATTGTATTGTGTTGCATTTAATATTTTGCTTTTGAACAAGCAGTATTACTACTTAGATAAAGAATAAAGACCCCAGACTGCAAATCTAATAAAATAAAGCAATCAACCTGAACTATGCTATTAAATGAATTAAGAAAAAAATAAAATAATGTGCAAAACTTTATTTGGAATAAAAACTCTTAGCTATAAAACATGTCTCATTGTCATAAACAAGTCTTAATAAATAGACTGATTGCAATCACAGATGGTATAGTGTTTGATTAGAAGTCTTTATAAATGTATGTACTGATTGTTTATTTATACATAACATTTCAATAATCACCCCAGGAAAGCACCCATCAGATTCTCCTGTGCTTGCAAACCATGTCCCTCTTAAGATCATATTGGCAAAAACACAGATTAGGTTCATCACTGTTTGATCTGTCATTTGCAATGTCTTCTACAGATATAAACCAAAATTAGCTATTTCAAACTTTAGTTTCTATGGTTTAGTCCAAAATGAATAAAGTGAATCCTCACTCTTTTTATTCTCTCACATTTTAGTAGCTTTAAAAAAATTATTTATATAGAGGAACCCTAAAGATAAGATGCTAAGTTGAATTTCTAAATCATATTGTTAAAGAGTAAGTGTGCTATGGTGGTTGATAGATTCTTTCAAAAGAAAAAATGATCTGTCTACACATTTGCTTAACTCTTCAAGATCAGGTGATATTAGTTTAAATTTTAATTAAGAGTGCGTTTGACATTATTTCATATTTTTAGACAGATGAAATATATATTTTTTTAAACTGTTAAAAGAACAGGAATACAACATTATTAAATGTCATAAGCTCAATGAATTTGTGGTTATCTTTTCCAAATAACCAAGTTCAGATCATTACTTATCTTTATCACTAAAGCATGTTACTAATTACTATAGTGATTTTTATTTATTTCATATAAAAGTCAAGATTAAGGTATATAAATGAAAGCATTTTCTTTTAATTCTGAAATTATTTTAGAATAGCTAGAATGAGCATGTAGTTGGTAAAACTACATGATGAGGGAGGAGAGGGTTTAAATTGATGATTAAAATCAATAATTTATAAATAAATTCTAACAGCATTTTAATTATGACTTGTATTATAAATTGTATAAATTATAAATGATTTAAATATATTCACATGTAAGTATGATGAAAACATAAATTCATTTAATATCTAATGTTATGGTTCAAATATAAGTAAATATGTTAAAATGATAAATCTAATGTGAAATGATTAAAGGTATGCTTTCTGAAATATTCTTCCTCCTCTGCGTATGTGTGTGTATGTGTGTGTGTGTGTGTGTGTGTGTGTGTTAATTTCATGTGAGAAGAGAACTACAGTTTTAAAGACTGCATGTTTCCTGAATCTACTTTAATACCTGAAGGTTGATGTATTAAGATATTCTATATTAAGGGGTAAACAAAGATGATGTTAAATTTTATTGTCATTCCGTAAGTAGGTAATTAATCCTTGTCTTTTTTTTCCCTTACCCTGTGCCTAAGTGTTCTCACTGTTCCTCATCTATGAGTGTGTGGTGTTTGGTTTTCTGTTTTTATTTCAGTTTGCTGAGAATGATGGTTTCTAGATTCATCCATGTTTCTAGAAAGGATGCAAACTCATCATTTTTCATGTCTGCATACTATTCTATGGTGTATATATGCCACATTTTCTTTATCCAGTCTATCCTTGATGGGCATTTGGGTTGGTTCCAGGTCTTTGCTATTGTAAACAGCACTGCAACAAATGTGTGCATGTGTCTTTATAATATAATGATTTATAATCCTTTGGGTATATACCAGTAATGGGATTGCTAGGTCAAATGATATTTCTATTTCTACATTCTTGAGGAATGGCCACACAGTCTTCCACAATGGCTGAACTAATTTACAATGGTTGAACTAATTCAGTGTAAAAGTGTTCCTTTTTCACCACATCCTCTCCAGCATCTGTTGTCTCCAGATTTTTTGATGATCGCCATTCTAACTGGCATGAGATGGTATCTCAATATGATTTTGATTTGCATTTCTGTAATGACCACTGATGAGGAGCATTTTTTCATGTTTCTTGGCCACATAAATGTCTTCTTTTGAAAAGTATCTGCTCATATCCTTTGCCCACTTTTGAATGGATTTGTTTTTTTCTTGTAACTCTGTTTTAGTTCTTTGTTGACTCTGATATTAGCTCTTTGTCAAATGGGTAGAGTGCAAAAAATTTTCCCATTCTATTGGTTGCCAGTTCACTCTAATGATTGTTTCTTTTGCTGTGCAGAAGCTCTGGAGTTTAATTAGATCCCATTTGTCTATTTTGGTTTTTGTTGCCATCACTTTTGGTGTTTTAGTCATGAAGTACTTGCCTATGCCTATGTCCTGAATGGTGTTGCCTAGGTCTTCTTCTAGGGTATTGATGGTGTTAGGTCTTATGTTTAAATCTTTAATCCATCTGGAGTTAATTTTTGTATAAGGTGTAAGGAAGGGGTGCAGTTTCAGCTTTCTGCATATGACTATCCAGTTTTGCCAACACCATTTATTAAAAAGGGAATTCTTTCCCCATGGTTTGTTGTTGTCAGATTTGTCAAAGATCAGATGGTTTTAGATGTGTGTTGTTGTTTCCGAGGTCTCTGTTCTATTCTACTGGTCTATTATATCTGTTTTGACTACTGTAGCCTTGTAGTAGAGTTTGAAGTCAGGTAGCTTGATTCTTCCAGCTTTGTTCTTTTTGCTTAGGATTGTCTTGGGTAGGCAGGCTCTCTTTTGGTTCCATATGAAGTTTAAAGTGGTTTTTCCAGTTCTGTGAAGAAGGCCAGTGGTAGCTTGATGGGAATAACATTGAATGTATAAATTACTTTGGGCAGTATGGCCTTTTTTACGGTATTGATTCTTCCTGACCATGAGCATGGAATGTTTTTGCATCTGTTTGTGTCCTCTCTTATTTCCTTGAGCAGTGGTTTGTAGTTCTCCTTGAAGAGGTCTTTTACATCCTTTGTTAGTTGTATTCCCAGGTATTTTATTCTCTTTGTAGCAATTGTTAAATGGGAGTTTGCTCATGATTTGGTTCTCTGTTAGTCTGTTGTTGATGTATAGGAGTGCTTTGTGATTTCTGCCATTGATTTTGTATTGTGAGACTTTGCTGAAGTTGCTTATCAGCTTAAGGAGGTTTTGGACTGGGACAATGGGGTCTTCTAAATATAAGATCGTGTCCTCTGCTAATAGGGACAATTTGATTTCTTCTTTTCCTAATTGAATATGCTTTATTTCTTTTTCTTGCCTAATTGCTCTAGTAAGGTCTTTTAATACTATATTGAATAGGAGTGGTGACAGAGGGCATCCTTGTCTAGTGCCAGTTTTTTTTTTTTTTTTTTGAGACGGAGTTTTGCTCTTGTTACCCAGGCTGGAGTGCAATGGCGCGATCTCGGCTCACCACAACCTCCGCCTCCTGGGTTCAGGCAATTCTCCTGCCTCAGCCTCCTGAGTAGCTGGGATTACAGGCACGCGCCACCGTGCCCAGCTAATTTTTTGTATTTTTAGTAGAGACGGGGTTTCACCATGTTGACCAGGATGGTCTCGATCTCTTGACCTCGTGATCCACCCACCTCGGCAAAGTGCTGGGATTACAGGCATGAGCCAGCGCGCCCGGCCCCTAGTGCCAGTTTTTTAAGGGAGTGCTTCTACTTTTTGCCCATTCAATATGATATTGGCTGTGGGTATGCCATAAATAGCTTTTATTATTTTGAGATATGTTGCATCGACACCTAGTTTATTGAGGGCTTTTACCATAAAGGGCTGTTGAATATTGTCAAAGGCCTTCTCTCATGTATTAAGATAATCATGTGGTTTTTGTCTTTGGTTCTGTTTATGTGGTGGATTACATTTTTAGATTTGGGTATGTTGAACCAGCCTTGCAACCCTGGGATGAAGGCTACTT